TCTTTATTATTATTATTATTATTACTATTATTATTAGTATTACTATTACTATTATTATTATTATTATTGTTATTTTTATTATTGTTATTACTATTATTATTGTTGTTGTTTATAATTGTTTATAATTTGTACAATTAACCTCCCTATGGTTTGACCCCGGTCTTGCCGGGTTATTTATTACTTCGACACTCCTGCACTTGGAAGAAGACATCAATCTTTCAGTCATGTCAGTAGGGTTATTGAAAACCCACTATTGAACCTTGTGAGAAAGATGATGAGTCAATCTCTAACAGTAAGAAAAAGGGTTGAATCTGAATATTGCAAGGAAAAGACTGATTCCCTACCAATACTTTCATTTCCTCATGTCATGACCAAATAAAGAGAAGTTAATCACGATTGTGAAATCTTTGAAACTTTCAAACAGGAAGAAATCAAGGATGAAAAAGGCACCAGAAATGTTGTTGCAGATCATTTGTTAAAATTGGCAATAGATTCAACATCTGACATCACATTAATCGATGATTACTTTCTTGTTGAATCTTTACTTTCTCTTAGTTCAATACCTTGGTTTGTTAAAAATATCAATTTTCTTACTTTAGGATTTTTGTCAACTTATTCAAATAACTAAGACAAAAGAAAGTTTTTGAGCGATGTGCAAAACTTTTATTAGGATAACCTTACTTATTCAAATATTGTCCCAATCAAATATTTCAAAGTTGCATTCTTGACAATGAGGTAAGTAGTGTCATTAAATTTTATCACTCTAAGGCATGTGGGGGTCATTTCTCATCAAAGAAACTAAACTGCAAAAATCTTACAAAGTGGATTTTATTGGTTCACCATGTTCAAGGATTCACATGCATTTTGCAAAACCTGTGAAAATTGTTAAAATGTGAGATTTATTTCAAAACACAAAGAGCCTTTAGATAATCTTCTATTGACTCTTAAGTCTTCTCATAGTGGATATATGCATCGTGCAATTTATGACTTATGAACTTATTTTCATTGCTCGGTATAGTCTTGGGAATCTGACTAAAAAAAGACCTTGTTTGCCAGTTTTTAAGAAAATTAGATGGGAAGCCTATCCCCGACCCATAGAGGGCATTTAAGTCGTTCTTGGACATAAAACCAAGGGAAGATGTGAACCACAATCACAATTACGATTTGAGTTTTAGTTTGTAAAAATCTATGTCTTTTGGTTTTATTATTGTATTTTGTTGTTTCTTATATTTGTTTAAGTGTGTTATAGGTTTGTCAATATTTGTTATTACAAGTGATGTCTTCTATACTCTATCTTTCTACCTTAGGACATTAAGGACAATGTCTCGTTTTAGTTGGGGGGAGAGGGTAGTAGTTGACAAAAAAAAAACATTATCTAATTGTGTTTTCTATTTCATAAAGCATGTGTAAAATTATTGTTACTAGGATGGTAGAGTAAATAAGCTCTATTGTTAAAGTGACTCTTGAGATGCATCTTAGTAATCATTCTTAACAAGGTCTATCATAATACTTCTTGAAATACCCAGGTTTATAAACTCTCACATTGTTATCACTTTAATTCTACTCATATACTCATTTAACATACATTCTTAAACCTTAATTTTCACACACACACTTTAATATATGATTGTGGGTTACACATTGGATTATAACATTATTTATGTTCTTTTGTTAAAGATAACAACTAAGGAAAAGAGATAGTATATAATTTATAAAAAAAAAAAGCAAAAAAAATGATGATAATAAAAATATAGATAAGTTTGGTTTCGTAGCCTCCCTAACCTAAGCAATGAAGCCCAAAGAGGTGTTTTAACACCTAATACTTAAGGTTAATTGACTTGGGAGCTATTGGTTCAATGCTTGTTACATGGGTTGAGGAGAAAAACTTAAAAGAATCAAACATTACACTATCTATGTATTTTTCCTTAATTAATCGGTCATCGCGATGTCCGGGTGTGATGGAATGGCGACTCCATTGGGGACCTTAGGATTAAGCTTTGTCTTTTGTCTTATTATTGCTATTTTGTTTGTTGTGTATATTTGTTTATTTTTCCTGCATTTACTACTTTAGCATGCATCCTTATTTATGTTTCCATGCATCACTTTGAGAGCACACACTTTACAACCTAGGATAAGTGGGGGAGTAACGATACCCTAATGGCTTTAGCCTAGGTAAGACTTGTGAAACCATCCAACTCTCGCTTGATTGTTTACTTGGAAGTGGTTGATATGCCAAACTGATATTACTCAGGGCCTCTATCTTCACACTACTTGTAAGCCTCATATCAACCTTTTAAGGACGATCACTAAGCATGCGAGAGACCCTTTGAAACTAGATAATGACCAACCCTTTGATGCACTTAACAATTAGGATCTTCATATTAGGTTGTCATCCCATAAAGGGCGAGTCTGCATTTCATATGCATTTTTTAAAAAATTAAATCAACATTTTTATGTAAATTGCATGATTTACAAAAGCAAGTTGAAATATAAGTTCCCCGTTGAAATCCACCTCTAACAATCATTTGAGAAAAAGACAAATGGAAAACGAAGAAAAAGCCTAATTGGAAGCCCAACACAAAAAAGAGGTGGATAATATTAAAGAAGAAGTCGCAAGGCTTACTAGTCTACTCGAATAGGCCTTGAGAGACAAATCCAGAAAAGCAACACATATAGTTTAGCCTGAACCTATGCTCATAAATCCCTTCACTCCACAGAATCTGGGGGCAAATAAGAAGGAATCTCGAAAAGGCAAGATGGTAAAAGAAGATGATCTTAACAAATTCATTGCCCTGGAGCAAATGATGAAGGCATTTGAGGGAATTCGCCTACTTGATTCTATAAAGGCTGCTGAGATGTGTTTGGTGCCTAACGTTGTCATTCCCAAAAAGTTTAGAGTGCCAGAATATATCAAATATACGGGAACTCAATGCTCTATAACTCATTTCAAAGCATACTGCAACAAAATGGCTGAGATGGTTAATGATGAGAAACTGCTGATTCATTTCTTTCAAGACAACTTGAGTGATGTTGCCCTCATTTGGTATATGCAGTTGGAAAATACCAAGGTTAAAAGATGGAAGGATTTAGTTGATGCCTTCATGAGGCAATATAAGTTCAATATAAATGTGGACCCTAATCGGTTAAGCTTGCAAGCTATAGAGAAGGACAACAAGGAGTCCATAAGGGAATACGCCCGAAGATAGAGGGAGGTAGTTGTACGAGTTAACCCTCCTATGTTGGAAAAAGAGATGATCAATTTATTTTCCAACAGCGTTAAAGCTCCGTACTTTGAATACTTAGTTAGAAGCTTTGCACAACATTTCACTGACCTGGTTGTTATAGCTGAGAGGATTGAACAAGCCATTGGGTTAGGTAAGATTACTAACCCAACTAAGAAGAACAGGTTCACTAAAGGTGGTTTGCCAAGGCACTTATCATTTTATAGCTAATTGCCTCACACTGACTCCCAGAAATCAACTATCTTGAAGATAAAGCTATGGTGATATTAGGTCAAAAATGATCTATAAATGACTTCAATTGACTGTTGAAAAGATGCCCTTGTCAAGGAGAATGAACAATTGAAAAATTCTAGAAATTTTAATCATTGATCACTAAATGTTTAGCCCCTTTATGTGTTATCATGCCAGTTTTCATAGCCCAAGATGTTGGCATAAGTTCTTTGTTGTTAAACTTCTTTTCCAAAGTTTCAATGAAATAATGAGTTTGTCATTCAATCATGTTCACGACCAAGCATTATTCCTTTTCTTGAGAAAGTTTTCTTATAAGAACTCACAAATACACTTTAGAAGCCTCACGTGATCTCATAAACGCAGTTCATCTCTTTTACCAAAATTAGTTTCCTTATTGGAGTTTTGAAAATTTGATCTAACATTTTGATTTCAAAAATAATTTGATGTTTATTCAAAAATGATATTTTTTGACATTCTGCTTGTAGAATCACAAGTGAATCAAGCAACTCCATCATTGAGGTGACTAAATTATAAACAAAAAAAATGAATAAACACCCTTACCCCATGACTCTTGAATCATGTGTTTTTAAACATATGAATAATGGTATGTAGTGAACTCGTTGCTCATAACCCTTGAAATGTATCTTTACAAAGACCAAACCATCACACTGGATGAGGTCAAAATTTATTGATCATAGCTGCTTGCGCTTGAAATGAGAAAATGCCATCTTTGTTATTCCTTTCATGTTCCAAAATAAATACATCCCTTGCTATCCCTTTTTTAGCCTAAATAATTTTTCTTTTATGAAAAAAAATCTCGACTAAGATCACACCCCACACTAGGGGCAATTGAAATTTCAATGATCAAGAAAGATGATAAAGCCGTGAGAAAGCTAAAAGTCAAAAGAGCCCAAGAAACTCAAACGCTAGGGGGCATGCCCAAATAACAAGAAAAAAAATGATAACCAAGACAAAGTGAGTATGCTATAGTAAAGCAATGAAAAACGAAAAAAAAAAAGGGGCAAACAAAAAAAAAGAACGACAAAAAAATAATACGAATGGCGTCTAAAGTCAAACTATTGATAGTGATCTTCAGTCTTTAAAGCCAAAAAGCTTCAAAAAACCATCTCCTCCACGACCGGGATCGTGGCAGAAGACATGGTCGCGATCGTGGCAGATGATGAACAGAAGGATTATAAAACCGCGTCATTTGGCATGGAAAATGACAAATTATAGATTGGTCCCTAATGTTTTAAAATGTATCAATTAGGTCCTTTAATCAATAAATTTTATTTTATTAAATCAAAGTTTAATTAAGTCTACAAACTTATTAATTCTCCAATTAAACCCTTCATTTAATTAATTAAACTAGTGAAGAGTTTAATTAAATCTTTAAACTTCCAATCATGTTGCCCTTAACCTAAATTTTAATTTATTCTTCATTTATTTTATTTTTACTTCTTTTTTTTAATCATTTTTTACACGATGAAAAGATTGATGTCTTCTCCCAAGTGCAGGAGTGTCGAAGTAATAAATAACCCGGCAAGACCGGGGTCAAACCACAGGGAGGTTAATTGTACAAATTATAAATAAAAATAATACAACAACAACAACAATAACAATAACAACAACAAAAACAATAATAATAACAATAATAAAAATAGTAGTAGTAGTAGTAGTAGTAATAATAATAATAAAGAAAGAGAAAAAGAAGAAGAAGAAGATGAGAACTTGGAGATGGAATATTAGTATAAGGATTAAACAATGATAATAACAAATGTCAAGGTTAGAGGTTCCACTAATGGTATGTCAAACAAGTATAGTATAAAACTCTTATTATTTAATTAACAAGTATAGTATAAACTCTTATTATTGAATTGGAAACCACACACAAAGGAGGTTCCAATCAGATTATATATTGTTAACATGATTACATTAGTCATCTTATTCGATTAATGCTAATACTTGTAAATCTCATCAAGCATTCATGATTATAACTTATGTTAACAACAAATCAAGTTCCTTTCATAGCTCAAGTGTCGGTTATACCATACAGTATGAGCTATGAAAGTGTCAAGCATTTGTTGTACCAAGTGTTATACAACATAAATCAAGATTAGTCATTTAACAAGCAAAGTATTAAAGAGGGAACAAGATAACAAATACAAAACATGTTAGTATCAAACATTAAAGTCCATATTAAGTTTACACTATACTTATTCTTACACCATTAGTGTAACCTTTTCACCTTGACATAATAAACTTAGCTAGAAATAATGAAAGAAAGAAAAATAAATAAACAAAATAAGATAAAAGTTAACTAAGTACAAAATAAGAACATAAAAGTTAACTAAGTAAAGGAAAGGAAATGAAAGGCATAAACTTGATATTAATGAAAGCAAAGCATAAACATTACAAAAAATACAAAAAGAGAAAGCAAGAGCATGATCTTGATCTGGAAACCAAGATGCCTAAATACATGGCAAATTCCTCCTTTTATAGGCCAAAATTGGGAACTATTGATTTGATGACTAATTGATGAGTGGGTGGCCAACTCTTGACTTGGTGACAATCCTTATCTTCTCTTGTGTGCCCAAAACGTCATTGATAACGTCAAAATTAGAGCCACGTGAAAACATGAAAGTTGTAGAAAATTGTCTCAGCTTTCTTGTATAAAATATTCAGCTCATTTGGGCTTCTAGAACTCCAGATATGGGCCAAATACTGAACAGTGCTCAGTCTGGAAGACAGATTCGGGCTTCTTTGTTGTTGCTACAATTTGGACTTGAAAATGGCCTTTTCAGATCTTAGGCTCCATATGAAAGTTGTAGGCCTATGTCTTACCTTTCCATCCATATAAAGTAGACCTAAATCTGAGATCTACAGCTCTAGATATGACCCAATTACCGAACAATGTTCTGGTTTGGATTGCACCGACATCTCTTTTCTATGTTTAGCCATCTCTTTGTCCTTTTAATTTCAGTTCTTAAATTCATCAATCAATCCTTTCATTTATGTGATAGGCTTGCATTTAAAATAAACATTTACCACAAATTAAAGGTATCTTATATTATTAGATACGTTATTATAAAACATGCTTTAGTTAAGGAGTTATTGATACTTCAAGTGCAAAATGATGATATAAAACCTTAATAAAAAAACATTTTTAAGTACTAATCACACCCCCTAACCAGCTTATTGCTAGTCCTTAGTAATCAAAGCGGTAAAATAGAAAAAAAAATTGTAAATTCCACAAAGCAAGGTATTCATCATTCAACTTCCATTAATCTATCCAGATAAACAAACTCTCGTTAAATTTAAATACCTGCTCAATACCTCTTAACAAGATATTCATAAACCTTTCTTTTGTGCTCAATGTATCAACATATAATTGCAGGGCTTTTGTTGGAAGAAAACAAAATTTTTGTTCTAATGTTTAAGGTTAACTTCCTTGGGGTGGGATTATTATTTTTGTCTTCTTCTTTTTTCTTTTTTTTCTTTTTTTTTAATATATATACATATAATTTAAAACACCATGCATATTTAACCCATGTAACGAGCTTTCGGCTAATGACTCCCAGGACCAGTTGGTCTTAGGACATTAGGTGTTAAGACACCCCTATGAGCTTAGTAACTCGGGTCGCAGATACTGATATGTAGATAGTGCAATGTTTCATTCCCTTAAGCTTTTCTCCTCAACCCATGTAACAAGTGTTGGGCCAATAGCTTCCAAGTCAGTTGAATTTAGGGTATTAGGTGTTAAAACACTCATTCGGGCTTAATTGCTTAGGTAAGGGAGGCTACGAAACCAAACTTATCTACATTTTTATTATTATCATTTTTTTCTTTTTTTTTGTCTTTTTTTTGTTTTTCTTTTTTTTAATTATATACTATCCCTTTTCTCTTAGTTGTTACCTTTAACAAAAGAACATAAATAATGTAATAATCCAATATGCAACCCACAATCATATGTTAAAGTGTGTGTGTGTAAATTAAGGTTTAAGAATACATGTTAAATAAGTATATGAGCAGAATTAAGTGATAGTAATGCAAGAGTTTGTAAATCTGAATATTTCAGGAAGTATTGTGATAGACCTTGTTAAGAATGGTTACTAAGATGCGTCTCAAGAGTCACTTTAACAAAAGAACTTCTTTACTCTGCCATCCTAGTAACAACAATTATGCACATGCTTTATGAAATAGAAAACAATTTTTTTTTATCAACTATTACCCTCTCCCCCCAACCAAAATGAGACATTGTCCTCAATGTTTAAAGGGAGAAAGATAGAGTATAGAAGATATCACCTGAAATAACGAACACTAACAAACCTGAAACACTAAAACAAATATAAGAAACAACAAAATACAATAATAAAACCAAAAGACACAAAGATTCACAAATAAAGGCTCAAATCCAATCTAAGCTTTTTATGGCTTTTCTTAGTTAACCAATTGATGCGACTTATGGAAGGATCAATTATAGGAATGAAAGATTGTAGTTCGTCAATCAATTGTTCAGCAGTAGCAGCAGAGATTATGATTTGTCGTGCAGAAGATGTTAGAAATTCCTGTTCCACAGCATGATCAAGAAAAGACAACAACTTATCATAATAACCATTAACATTTAACAAACCTATGAGTTTACGGTGAATGTGCAGTTGGGCCCAAGAGGAAATATGAAAGATCTCTTCCAATATACCTAGATCACCTAGTAAAGCAATGAAGGCATTAGT